TATTGATTAAAATACATTGATACAAATAAAAATGTTTTTAATGGACAGGTTCAGAATGACTTTCATCAGGAGGCTTGGCCTTCTGAAATTAAAATTGTGTAATATAAGGATGTGAGGCAGAGAGTTCCTTTGTTATAGCATTGGACGAAGCAAATTGTTGAAACGAATATACTCGGGTCCGATATAATGCATTGCTTACGGATAGATCATCAAATTTTAATCATTCAATTAACCATGTTTTTAATTCAGGAAAATTTAGTTTTTAGATATGATTTAAAAAAAAAGAAGTTAAATAGAATCAGTCGCTTTTGCCGACAGATGTATACTCCCAGCCTTGAATTATAATTATTCCAACTGTTGACCCTTTATGGTGGAGATTTCGAAGAAGTTGGTCAATATTGACCAATTCGTATCAGACCTAAGGCTGATATACATATTACAATGTGCCAAATTGGAACGATATCGACAACTTCCTATACTTTACTGTGAAAATATGCCTGAGGTAACAGATAAAGCGGACCGAACTATTCATCTAACAGACATAAAATATTGGTATGTGCAAAATTTAAAGGAAATCGAACATTTATATCAAATTTTATACGAAATCATAAATTCCGATCAATCATCAATTCCGATCATATTTATATCAGATTTCTGATTAAGGCAAATATTTAGATAGGAGAAGAAGTGGACCAATATATCCCATCTTCACAGCAGATATTGTAGAAATAATGGGATGTGTGAAATAAGACGAGAACATCATTACGGATTTCATGATCGTTCTGACTATTCGAAACGATGACTCTTTGTGGTGGAGGTACCAGAAAGAATGGTCCGATCTCTACCTTCTTTATAACAGATCTTGTGTTGGTGGAAATATTGAGATGTGCCAAGTCTGAATGTAATTGGATCTTAATTTCGAGTCGTATAAGCTTCATAGATGTTCAAAATGTTGACCATTTGTGGGGGAGGTATGAGAAGGAGTGGACCGATTTATTCCATCTTCATAAAAAAATGTTGACAATCGGTTTCTTACATCACATTTTATATGAGTTATAATTATTCAAAATTTCGACCCTTCGTGGGGGAGGTACCGATAATGTACATTGTTTGCACCAGACCTAGCACTGACACAAATATTAGAATTTGCTAAGTTAGAGAAAAATCGGATTATCCCTTCTCTTTCTGTGCAGTAAAATATATATATATATTTTTTTTTTTTGAAAATTTTAACTTTTTGTGGGGGAGATCCCAGAAGGTGTTGATCGATATTACTCATCTCCGAACTCGATCAAAATTTGACAATAATATTACGATGTACCAAGTTTGGACCAAATCGGATAATCCCTTCGAAAATTATCGTGTGCAGACAGACAGACGGACCGACAGACATCGCTAGATCGACCCCAAATATCCTGAAACGGATTTGGTAAAAAGATATCTATAAGACATGTTTTGCCTGTATCAAATGATATATACCCTCTAGCCATATGGCTGAGTGTAAAAAAAATGTTGAATATGGAATATGAATTTTTTTCCTCTACTCGATTAGGCACTGCGGTGGTCTCTTATCGCGTGATTTTTGCAATCCTAGCTATATAGTTCAGTATCCAGCCAAAATACTCTTTACAAAGCGGATTGATTACACATTTTTTTAAAGGATATTTTATTCTTCGAAAATGAGCAAAAAGTGGTGGTTATGCTATTGTTAAACGAAATTTTGCTCAGAAGAATTTAAGAGGAAGATATAGACAGCATTTGGTTTTAATAGGATAGCCACACAGACGAATTACATTGCTTGGTAATTGACAATGTAATTCATATGTCTACCAAATTTTTACAGATTCTACTGCTCAAAACTCTTCCTTAGCCAATGACATATCCTGGTAGAAGATATGTTGACATAGTTCGCTGGACAACATGAAACTAAGAGCAATATGATGTATAACCTATTTTCAGTTTTATTTCCTCAAGAGAACGTTAGTATCGAATGAATTAAATTATGAATACATGACATATTATTAGATTTTGCCACAACATAACTTTGTCCTACTTTTCTTTCACACAGACACACACAAACACAAGTTGAATATGTGTTTGACAAAGTTTCCCACAACTTATATTTTGTTGCTGTTGTCATTTTAACTGGAACAAACTACAAGCATGTCTGATTGATTTGCATGGTACATCGATGTGATAACAAGTGACAATCGCACACTTCTTCCGGAAGGCAGATACTCTGCGGAAGTAGGTTGTGGCAAACACACACACCTCGGGTGTGAGCTCTCCCCAATTGTGGGTTTACAACCCCCCTCCTTCACATACAGATGCAGGAAAACAAGTGCAACAACGAGACCAATATTTATTCAGATCAATAAACTAGAGGGGATGCATGCACAACACAGACACATACACGTGCAGACATGTTACAACTCATAATTCGCATTAGTTAAGGGCGGTTTTCATACATACATCACTGAAACGAGCTTCGATTCGATTGCCATGGCAATTACATTTGCTGTGCCTGTGGCGGCCAGCCTACACCCAAAGGCAAGGGAAGGGAATGTTTGCAGGAAAAAGTACAAAAAAGTGATTAGAAGTGTGTTCTGGTTATGTCTGTGACAAGACATGTGTGGACGGACGTTAATGTTGTCACTGACGCTGACAATGACGCTGCAATCAATACAAGTTATGCTGTTGTCGCTGTGTTTTGATCGCCAAACCATTGATTTGGCATGTAGCACAACTAAAGAAGCAAATATTCTATTTCATTTTATCATGTCCGTTTTGTGACAATGGCACGCACACACACACATCCACACATTGCCATTGATTTCCATACATGTATGCATGTATGTATGTATGTTAATTCCTTTTCGTGGTGTATGCTTTTGTATTGCCTTTTCCTTATCCTTATTGCATCTGTTTGCCAGCGATAAAGGAAACCCGAAAATCGTATCGCTTGACTGATTCTGAAAGCAAAAACCCGAAATCAATGGCTCATGGGGAATCGTCGCAGATAATCGGATTTGATAAAATTAAATTGACTTACAAATGTTTAATTAAAAGGCACAACCGAATCCAGTGTCACTGCGGCTGCGATGACGTCTGCTGTTGTCCATTGTTTGCGACGCTTGAAAGGGGGTTGGTTTCGATGTTGGCCAGGAGCATCCCTTTGCGGAAAACTATTAACACAACATGTGCGAATTTTCTATTCATGGGATATTATGTTGCCACTGGCTTTGTCTCCATTCAAGAGGGGTTTGAGGTTTTGCGAATATTTTGTTACATAAATCAAGCTATTAAACGTAACAACATCGCGTCTGTCCCAATTGGGAGATGCAGTTAACACATTTGCAATGGACATAATTTGGGCACTAATTTTCTCTACTTAGGACATTTAGTAAATGTATTGGCCATAAATCAGTTTTATTTAGTGCAGGACAATGGTCGTTGGTTAGGGGAATAAATATTTGTTGGACACACTTGTCAGTGATTTAGTTATGATATACATGGGAAGTTTTAAATATGGATTTTTATCAGAATTTTACAATATTTGGTAGATTTTTAAGATTTTAACATGTGTAGGGTGTTATTGCGATTTATTTAAGTAGGGAGAAGCAAGGCTGATGCATGGATTTAGTAGTTTCTGACATTATAAACTACTTACAATGCAACCTACTTATTCCTTATTTTTTTGACATGAACAGGCTGTAGAAATTTTTTTGAAGCTGTCCATGAAGGTTAAATATATATTTAAATAATTCCGAGAATATGGAATTATACAATTGTATAACTTTTATATAAGGGCCGAAGATGGTACAAGGCAAAGTTTTTCGGAAATTTTTTCTATAAGAATTTGAAATGAGCGAAGATCGATTTTGTAGAACTGTAGCTTTGAAATTGATTACATAGGAAGAGATAGGAACGGTATACAATTACTAACATACCAATTATTTGATACCAAAAAAAGGTACAATTGTTACCAAAAGATATTGTCCAATTGTGCTGATATATTTAAAAATGAAAGACGTAGAAAGGTTTGTTGGGAAACTTGTACGAAATTTATTTATGCAAATAAATTTGTTACTATTGTTTTTGGATTTAGACTTCTGTTTTTACACCCTCAGGCATATGGTTTCAGTTTTTGGAACCTAGGTCCCCTTGGGCCATATCCGTTGCAAGACAAACCTAGAATATCGTAATATTATTTTTAACTTAGATCGAGTTCGGATATGGGCAATATCGGTCCACTTCTTCTGGAACCTCCCCCACAGTAGGTCAAAATTTTCACAGAAATTAAATTTCTGTTTAAAACAAGAAAGGATTATCAAATATAGTCCAAACTTTGCAAATCCCAATATTGATATCATTGCGAAAATGGACAATATCGGCTCACTCCAGCATTTGATGGAAATTTAAAAAAGTAGAATTTTTAAACAAAAAAAATCTTCAAAAAGCGACTGAATATTCCGAATTTTATTTATTTCATATTGGGTCCCAGATTTTTAGTAAATTCTCCGATAAATTTATTTTGTAATATAATGGTCATCAATAAAATACCAGATTAGAGATATAAAATTAAACTATCCAGAATGCGGGTATTCATTAGTTTCTCAATTAAACCCCCAATTCTTTTTGCCAAAAATTCAGATATTTTTTATCGATACGATTTTTCCAAATGCGCATTAAGATTGAAAAATTACCCTCTGCCAAAAAATAGAAATGTTTCCATTTTTGTCAAGCAATACAATCTAAACGAACATGCGAATGTTTAAATCGGAAATAAAAGAAACAAATCGATTCACTCAATAGGGGTGTTTTTTTTGCTAAGCAAACTAATTAAGACAATCTGCTGGATTTTTTTCTGCGTCCTAAGCAGATTGATTAAATTGACATGTTTATGGGATAATGAGAAAGATTTTTGTCAATTTTACTAAAAACAATAAACAATGGCAAAATCGATTTAATGAAGTTGGTTGAAAACATTTAGCACTTACCATTTTAGGGGAGATTAAGAGAGGGTGCGAGGTTTGTTGCCAATCTGAAAGTAACAAAAAAACAAATATTGAACACATGTTATGAAAAATGTTGTAGAGGTCTGAATGTAAATGCTATAATGGAAAAATGGTAGTTTGTCATGTAATTGAGCAATAAATATTTTCGAAATGCACTATTAGTCAACAATAAACTGATATTAAAAGCCAAGATATTAAATTTATTTTTCAGTATGTCATTTAAAATTCATTCATAAAATTGTTTGAAATCATAACGGTGCTGATGGTAGTTTTTTAAGCACCATTTGCCACTAATAGCTTTTATTTATTTATTTTTTATTTTCGCAGAAATTCAAATCGCAATTTTTAATATTTCAAAATTGCAATGGGAATGAAAAAGGGTTTGGCAAATATTTTTTGGCCGTTATTTTTGTAATTGAAATATAAACACGTTCTGCAGATATTTCCTTTTAAATTTCAACCATAAATTAAACGTCAATATTTATGGGCAGAGTCCTAAGATTGTAATAAGTTTTATTATCGCAAATATTTGCAGTACTAGAAATACAAGCACGTTCTGAAAGTATTTCATTATTTTATTTCAATATTCAATTAAATAAATTCGTACATGCATGCATCCACTTGTATCTCAACTCAACGACAAGTATTGTCGGGAAAACAATTTCCCTTCAAAGAGCAAAAGGATTCGCAGAGCATCAAATTTCGCAAAAGTGATTTCTTTATTCCACTTGGCATGGAATGGTTGGTTGGTGGAGCAGCCATGCCATCGGTGCCAACATACCCCCCATGTGTGAACACTGCTTGTTCCCGATATATGTATGTCATGCATAATGAGATGTTGATATGACTGCCAAAATCTTGTCTGGATGATATGAAATACTCTTGTATTCAAGTGCAGAAAGTTGATTGAACTCCATTCTCATTTTTTATTTTTTTGTTTTTGGGGGGAGCAAGAGCTTTTAAACAAAAACTCGTATAATATAAGTATTCATGAGAAAATTTTATATTGCGCAGAGGAGAATTTGTCAAATGGGGTACACCGTGATACCTAGTTTTTCCACAGGCCTCAATGTAATTCCGTAAAGACATTATAAACTATAACAATTAATATATATATATATATATATATATATATATATATATATATATATATATATATATATATATATATATATATATATATATATATATATATATATATATATATATATATATATATATATATATATATATACTACCTACCAGGTTACGCTTTATATGAGATAATTTTTAGAAAAAATTGGAAATGTGCTAGAGGTATCAGTTGCAGTTTTGACTATTGTATTCCATTTTCAACCCTCACAGATAAAAATATTAGTATGGGCAATATTACAAGAAAATCGAATATCCAATTTCGTTCGAAATCATAAATTCCATATTCATATCAGATTTCTGGTTGAGAGAAATATTTAGATATAGAAAGTTGTTAAGAATTGCTGATTTGTTTCGCAAGCTTTGACAGATAAAAGTATTTAAAATTGTGACCTTTTGTGGGCGAGGGGTTCGCAGATATATATGATCTTCACAACAGATCTTTTGTTCGGAAAAATGTTTGTATGTGTGAAATTTAAAGAGAGTTGTATGCTTATTTCGGTTTCTTTGAGCGTATTGTTTATCCAAATTTTGAACCCTTTTTGGGGGAGGTAACCGAAGGAGTGGTTCGATCTGCACCACCATCTTTATTACGGATGTTGTGTTGATAGAAATATTGAGATGTACCAAGTTTGAATGGAATCGGATGTTAATTTCGCGTTTTATGAGCCTCATGAATATTCAAAATTTTCAACCTTTGTGGGGGAGGTATCAGAATGAATTGTCCGATCTCTACCATGTTTATAACAGATCTTGTGTTGATTGAAATATTAAGATTTGCCAAGTCGGAATGGAGTCGGATGTTTATTTCGTGTTTTATGAACTTAATGAATATTCAAAATTTTGAGCCTTTGTGGGGGAGGTACCAGTTTGGATCAAATCGGATACTCCCTTCGAGAGTTATTGCGCACACCAGCCAGACAGACGGACGGACATCGCAGATCGACTCCAAATGTCTTGAAACAGGTTTTGTCCAAAGAGCCAAGAGAAAGATCTAAAACCATAATTTCAATGAGGCACGTTTTGACCGTATCAAATGTTATACCCTCTCTAGCCATATGGTTGAGGGTATTAAAAAAGGAAGAAGGAAGTATTTTTTACTAGTTTCGAATACTTAATTTCAAATTAAAGTAAATTGTGTTTGGTCGGTCTTGGATGAATTTAGTAGCACTCGGGGTCTTCAAAAGTTCCCCGAAACCTTATAGATGCATTACGTACATCACTTCCTATCGTATGGGTCTTGATTTGCACAATTGAGGTTTTGTTTGATATACGTAACAAAATTCTGAATAAAATTTGGAGGTCGAACATACGGACTCATATGAAATGGTTTCAAAATCCAATATCCCGAAGGAAATATTTGAAGTATTCAGAGCTCTATGTAAAATACTGTAGGTTGACTTTAAAAAACTGGTTAATAATTTCACTTCGACTAACTGGAGACTAAGGCTGCAAATACATAAAAAGCTTGAAGTCATGGCTAGGCATATTAATGCTAAATTATAATGAAAAACGACGGCAGGATTTTAGAGCGGCTCTGTAATTCCTTTGTGAAATGTCACAAAATAGGCCTGCCATGACTTCAAGCTTCTTATGTACTTAACCCTTAAGGCATTGATGCCAAAATGTTTGCAGAACTTAACCCAACGATCAAAATTTTCTCGCAAATCATTATAAGGACTACATTTTGATATTTCCAGTCTACAAGAACCGTATTTTATAAATTTCTGGAAACAAATTGATTATTTGAATTGTATGACTTTAAACATATCCAAATAATTTCCCTAAAATCCATTCCATCTTTCTTCCAATATTTAAAATTTGTACACCCTTTGAACCCCCCTAATATTCCTGCTCTCTTCCATTTTGTAGACAATTTCACTTGGCTGACAAAATTGTCGAACGCCATCAGATTGTAAATAGTGCAACAAAGTATTGTAAATAATCATAAAACTTTCTTTGTTTTCAAATTTGACAACATTGTTTAGCCAGAGTTGGATGTTGGAAGTGTAACAACCTTTTTTTTTTTTGTTAACTCTGCTAATTTTGGTGGTGGTATTGAAAACAGACAACAAAAACTTAACTTTATGGCCATTGAATGACTTTTGTTTAATAAAACTTTATCTCTTAATTCTCTTTCTCTCTCTGCCCTCTCTTTGCAGTTCTACAGTCTATTGGAACAGAATCAAATTGCCAATTCCACATTATCCTTGAGAGCCTGCACACTGTTTGTACCTACCAATGAGGCGTTCCAGCGTCACAAGAACAAGGCCACTTATGTCCTTTATCACATGGGTAAGTCGTCTAGCTGACTGCCTGGCTGTCGGACTAGCTGATGATTGTCTGGTTGCCTGGCATTTATCACTTAATTACATTGTTGTTTCCATTTATTATTGTTTGTGTTTTTGTTGTTGACTCATTTTAAATTAATTACAAATATGTTTTTACAAATTGAAATCTTAATTGAAATTGGATTTGTTTTTCTCTTCGATTCAGCCACCGTTGCCATGACTCAGGATCAATTAACAAAGACCATACCATCCGACATGGATGGTAATCCTCCATTGTATATAACGAAGAATCGCAATGGTGATATCTATGTGAATAATGCCCGCATCATACCGTCATTGTCGGTGGAAATGACCAATAATGAGGGAAAAAGACAGGTATGATTCCGTTGCAAAGACCAATCCCAAGTCGGAGAAATAATTCAATATTTTATTTTTCTTGTTTTTTTTTTTCTAATCTGACCAGGTGATGCATATTATCGATGAAGTTTTAGTGCCACTCACCCCGCTGCCCAATACAAAAACGGAAATCACCAATCCAGATGCATTTCAATTCTTGCAACAGTCTGATTTACTTGACATCGGAGAAGATCATCGTTTAAGGTATGTGAAGTGAAAATTTTTGTTGTTTTCTGGGTTTAAGGGTCGAAACAGAAGATTTGGGGTTTTGTATTTCATTTAAAAGGGGAAACAAAAATTAGAGCCAAACTAAAAATTGTTTAAATCTTATCTTTTTACGAGATGAGAGCTCTTCCAAAAAGTGGACCTATGCTCAAAATGTTTACCTACCCACAATATTAAATTGCTTTGATTTCAAATGCGAAATTAGACGAAAGCTTTAAGAACAGTTTACACATCTTGTTAAAATCATATGTAAATAGGATTTTTAACATTTTATATAAGAAAGATTTGTAGCATACTTTTAGGCGCGTCAATGAAGATTATATAAACTGCAAACCTTTTGATAGGCGAAGTTCCGAAAGAGTGGGCCAATATTTTCTATTTCGTATCTGATATAATTTTATGAAAGTTATATTTATTCAATATTTTCATCCAGATCTTGTTTAAGTAGAGGCATTGTGATGTGCGCAATTTGAAAAAAATCGGAAGCTCATTTCGTGTTTTACTTTTAATTCATGGTTATTTTAAATTTTGATCCGTTGTGGAGGAGGAACCATAAGTAGTGGACCGATATATCCCATCTTCACACCAGATTTTTTATTGACAAGCATATTGGGATGTGTGAAATTTGAAGAATATCGGAGTTATCATTACTCGAAATGTTTACCCTTTGTGGGGGAGGTACCAGAAGAAGTGGACCGATATTGTCCATCCCCGAACTCGATCTTAGTTTGATAATAATATAACGCTGTACCAAGTTTGATCAAATCGAAGTGAAGGGAATATTCCCTTCGAGAGTTTTCGTGCGCACCATCGCTAGATCGACTCCAAATGTCCTGAAACGGATTTGGTACAATGAGACCTAAGGTCTAAAACCGGCATAGAATAGAATGTATAATCTGATGCTAATATTGAATAATTTTGTAGTTTGTGATAAAATACCATAATATTTCGAGGTTCGTTTTTTTCTGGGAGATATGAAGGAATTCAAGAATTTTTATTTGATTGCGTATCACTTCTGCTTTTAGTCCCGTTTCAAGAATTTTTTTTTCGAGGAAACCTAAATGGCATTTTTAACATATCGTTAACGTTGTTGTCTTTTCATCTCTTTTTAGAGTCTATCGTTCGCAAGTAACTCTGAAAGGCAAGGAGAATTTATTCCAATCACCTGGTGGTCATACATTCCTCATACCAGTCGATGAAGGTTTCAAGGTAAGTAATTTCCCGGAATTCCGTTTCTTCTCGTCTCCATTTGCAAGGATAATTTATTAAAACAATTCCTTGATTAAACAATAGGCAACAGCCCGCAGCAGTTTGGTGGATAAAAAAGTTATCGACGGCCATGTCCTGTTGAACAATGTGATATTTACTGCGGCCGCACCCATTGAAGTGCCACAGACCACTGCCGCGTTCGAGGATAACATAAAGGTTACCGTGACTTTCTTTAAAGAGAAGAGTGGCATAAGTAAGTACAAGTGAATGTAACAAATGATATGTATATGTGTTTGTGTATCTGACAATACACACACATACACACACACAATGAATATAAAGACTGTCATAAAGACGGATTTTATGTTGAAAGAAATGAAAATTATCTCTTCTCTAATCTGATATTCTATTTCCTTTGCTTCTTCTGCCCCATTCTATTCTATTTTATATGATACTTTTGTAGTGTATGTGAAATCGAATACTTTGCTTGGCGATAACAAACACGCCACCGGAGTGGTGCTGTCGGAAATTGTGGCCGCCAATATACCCGTACGTAATGGCGTTGTCCATTTAATAAAGCGTCCTTTGATGATTGTCGATACGACGGTAACCGAATTCCTGCAGGTAAGTCCAAATGTATTCCAACCCAAAACGAACCAAAAGTAAACAACAGTAACAACATTTGCAAAAAATACCAATAACAACAGAAACAAAGGCAATAGTAAAACGCTACAACACATTAACATATTAGCCAAAAAGGGAAACTGAAAAGAAAAATCAAATATTTTGTAAAGAATGTAGTTACCCGCCTCCCCTGAAGCCAGAATGCAAATTAGATGTTCTAACATTAGCAATTCCTGGAATCCTGTAACAGGATTCAAAGCTCTTAAAACAAAGGCTTAACTAACCAAAAGCTGATTACTTAGCATTCCTCAAAAGCTGAAAAAGAAGCTAGCAATTATCATTACTTAGGCTAAGGTTACACTTTTGGATTAGGCAATCGTCTTCGAAAGGGCTTTGATTTTGGTTTGAGCCGTTGGTGGAAAGGATGACTTGTCGTGTCGTTCCGAAATTGTTGATGACAACTACATTTTTACGTTTTTAAACCCCGTGTTCTCACAAGAACAAAGCCTTAACATTCCCTCCAGGAAACATGAAACACATTCTTAACACTGCACCCCCACACACACACACCCACTCTCACACACGTACACAAATTAACTACAACATTTTGCCACGAATACCCAAAGACTGATTTTACCTTGAACTGAATTCAGTTATAATTTTTTCCCCAAATGAGCGAAAAAAAACCAACACCAAATTTCAAGTCTTGAGAGAAGAGAGAAAACAAACACAAAGATTCGGTTCTCAGTAAAATCAAAGCAAAATTTTATTTTAAAATAATTTTTAAAATATAAATTTTATTTTAAAAAAATTTTGGGTGTAATGTAAGTATACCAAGGACAACAACAAAATCTAACAAAAATATTTGTTTGTATAAATTCATCCAAATAAATCCAACAAAAAAATTGTTAATTAATTGACATTTTCCTTTTGTGTTTGAATTTTATTAATTTGTGTACAAAATTATAAAAAAAAAACATCTAAATCCAAATTTATTATATCCATGATTGAACATTCATTCCAAACAAAGAATTTTAACCTGCAAAGCAATTGGCTCAAAGCGTTTATATTTTGAAAATAAAGCTTAACAGAGGGCACCGTAGAAGAAAAACTCTTGAAATTTAATTCGTAAAATTTAATAGATTTATAACTATTTTTGTTTGGGTCTGAATCAGCGGAGACCAAAAAGAGAGTGGGTCAAAATGTAAATACAATTCCAAAATAGTTTGGATGATTCAGATTAAAACCATGGCAGAACTATAGAGGTGGTGTCATTTACTACATGGAATTTAACAAACCTTTTTCAACGAGCTCGACTTTGTCATGTCGGAGGTTGGCAACATTGATCGGTTAGATCACTTGTAAATTTTTGGCAGTTTGTGTCTTCGCTTACCCCATAGCGACATCTAAATCTGAATGTGTAAATCACCCTGTCAATGTTCATCACTGTATGTTTGAATCTCTGCTTAAACCCAACTGTAAGATGGCAACACTGAACTACAAGAATATCAAAATGGTATGTGTCTGGAATACGATGACAGTAACGGTCAAAGAGGCAATCTCTGTGATTATGTCTGAACCCCCATAAAGTACCTACTACAATGCGTTTGGATATTGATACTGAATAAAGGACATAGAGACCTCGTTTTTAAGTTGTTTGAAGGTTCAGCCGCGGGTAAATTATACACATACCCTCTTTTGTATTTTAATTGCGGTTTCACACATTAAGTGACCACAATTTTCTATTGGAAGATATTAATTGTTTTATTATTCGATATTAAAAAAAATTAATTAAAAAGAAAAATGCTATCGATTTTTCTGCAATTAGTCTTCCAAAATTAACGAAAAAAACACAAACTTCTACGGTGCTTTCCGACAAACATTTTAAAATTCCTCATAATGCAATGCTCTTTATAATTTCTTACTGTGAAGGTTAAAAATTCTAATCAATCGAATCTGGTTCATATATTCTCTGTGCATATACTTCCCTTACACTTGAAAATTTTTATATCAAAATTGTACATTTGGTTCAGGGTTGAAATTAAGTTCACCAGCAAATTGGCAGATCTTTAACATTAACATTTTCTTTATCTATCCTTTGTTTAGATATTCGTTCAAAACAATTGGCTTTTAGGGAACTATTTTTTTTAGTTAAAAGGAGAAATTGGGGAATGATTTTTCGACTGTGATGGAATAAATTATAATTTTATACCATTTTTCGAAATCAATCCCCCATTTGAAGTTGTGTTTAGCTTCATTGCTTGACATTTGAAGAATTTCATTGAACATAAACCAATACTGTCTGCACTGTGCCTTAGAACAACATTATATTGGATTTTAATTTTAAATTAAAAAAAAGGACAACCAAATTTTCTAAGGCGCGGTGTAAACATGATATCAAGAAAATTTCCAAGCGCCCTCCCTGAAAATATCAGTTCATTGTAATCACAAACATCATCTCGTGCGTTTACATTTCTGCCGCTCTCTAACCTCATCATTACTCTCTTAAATGTTGTGATATTTTTTAGTTTAGTTCTATTTTTTTTAATATTTTGATGTGATTTTTTTAATGTGTGTTCTCTTTATCTTTGTAAAACTTTCCATTCTTTTCTTATCAAATGTATTTTCTTTAAACTTAAAAAAAAATACTGTGCCTCCCTGTGGATTTTATTGCAAATCCCCCGCAAAAAAAAATCAAACATCCTGAAAACAACAAAACTTAATGTTAAAAAAAATAATTTTAGTCGTTTAAGGTAATTACCCGTTTTTTATATTAAAAAAAATATATTTAATATTTATTAAATAATGTAGAATTTTATTATTTGAAATGTTAGCTGCAAGTTATCATGGTGATCGAATTATTTTAGAGTTGCATGAAGTTTTATGTTCCGTCCAAAATTTCAGTTTTTTTGTTTGCATTTGACTCGAAATGTAAATGGAATGCCAAAAAGTCATTTTTACTTATATATTTAAATCGTCTCATAATTTATGATTTCCAAAAAGAATGCTATCACAAAAATATTTGAATTTAAATCAATCTCAGCATGTCAAATAATTGGTTTTTGTTCGACACGCTTTAAAACGAAAACAAAATATTATTTATAAAAAATGTCCAGTGAATTCTTGGTGAATAGAAATCATGAATCCGATGTTGTAGATTGCCAAATTCGGATATTTTTTCACATGGCCGTGATTTTAGAAGCAAGTACTTCCAATTTGGGGAAAATCCGATCAGATAGAACTATAGCTGTTGATGCTTAAGTCCTACACATGCGTAATATGCACTCCACAACAAAGATCTTTGATACCGGGCAGCAGATACAGCTCAGAAAAAGGTGCTTCAAATTTTGTCAAAATCGGTTCAGATTTGGATATAGCTCCCATGTAAATCTTTATCTGATTTGAGATTTATTGTGCACCAAATGGCTAATATCAGCCCAAATGGACATCCGACCGAATTCAGTCTAGAAGCAAATAAATCAAACTTGGTGAAAATCGATCGGATTTAGTTTGAGTTCCTCAGATTCATAACATGCACTTTACCAAAATGATATTTTGTACCAGATATCAGATGCAGCTCAGAAACACCTCTGCCAAATTATAGCGAGATCAGTTCAGAATCGGATATAGCTCCCAAAAATATATTTATCCGATTTCATGGTTATTGTGCACCGAAAATGTAATATCAGCTCGAGTTGGATGGATTTTTGCACATTCAACAGAATTGTTACATTAGATGAAAAACGGTTTCCATACATATATTACTCGGAGATATAATAGTCATACATTCTCGAAGTCATGTCAGCAATGTTATTTGCTGAAATACGAGCCTCTGTCAAATTTGTTGATATTCGATTCAGAGTTGGGCTGAATGGCAGATTTCCGATGGAAACCCATATGTGTCTGGAATACGATGACCGTAACGCTTAAAGAGGCAATCTCTGTGATATGTCTAAACCCCCATAATCTACCTACTACAATGCGTTTGGATATTGATACTGGATAAAGGTCATAAAGGCCGTGAATGGCAAATTTCCGATGGAAACCCCCATTCAGTCGGGTCGAATGGCAGATTTCCTATGGAAGTCTGGGCTGAATAGAAGTTTTCCTATGGGTAAAACCTCTATTCTGCCTGGGCTAAAGCTCTACTAAATATGCATTGTGGTGTAGGGCATCATTTAGTCGGCCCAGTCCAACTTTTGACCTTTCGGTACTGGTTTTTACTTCATTAATAGGAATTAAAAATCGGACATTTTTAATCTAAAAATAATATCGTATGCATGATTCACATAAATACATATACTAGACATTTTTTCCAAAGTTGCCAGCTTATGGAGTTAAGAGAAATGCATTTTCGGAAGTTGAGATTTTTTCAAATCAACCATATGCCATCAAACAGTAGAGTTCGTCTATAACGACAAGTGACAATATCTCTCCCACTTTTCGAGAGTTTAGTATTTTCCAGCAAAAATGTAAATGCCCTGGAAGTAATTGATTTATTTTAAGGGGTTTAAAGACTTCTTTATACTATTTGTTTCGCACGAAGCAGCAGTCCAACTTCATTCCGAACTGGTACCATTTAATTTTGCTGGGATTTTGTTTATCAAAAATACAAAATTGTCGACGTCGTTATAAACGAATGAAATAATTACATGCCTATTTACATGTGTCTTGTATAAATATCCCAAAAATATATATTTCGCCATCCATCCACCACATTCATTTGGAATTCGAAAGCTATTTTGAAATAAATATTGAAAAAAGTAAAACATACTCATGTTTGTATCATGCAAAATCGATCACCCGACGAATGATTCGCATTGTTCTTTGCACGAAGTATAAGTTTTGAAAAAAAAATAAACATTTTATTTGCCAAATTAAAAAAAAAAAAAAACAAACAAAAACGCTAAACTTAAAGTAAAGAAAAAACATTAAAAAAACACAAAATAGATTTATTAATAATCGATTATTTTTGTTATGGCAAAATTACGAACGAAATGATAACCACCAACCACCACAACAACTACAACAAACCAACAACATTAATGGAAATTCACAATTTCAAAATTGCGTAAATTTTCCAATGCACGATATTCAATCAAACGTCAATTCATTCATTCAATCAACCAAACGATAACACGAAATGAAAATTCGAAAATGGTACTGCTCCATAAATTCAAACGAACCCCAAAACGAATGGTGCGATGTGATGAACGCAATTGCCATGAATCCTACCTCTGTCTTCGTCTCTGTTTGCCATGACTCCTCCGACTATCCTCATATGCATCAAAACAAACAAACCAAAAACGATAACGGTAGATTGTAAGTATGAATTAATTCCCTGAAATCCGCAGCCCCTCATAGGGGGCTGCCCTCCCCCCTACAAAAAACAATACATGTATCTGCAAGCCAGCTTGTTATTTTCACGTTACCAACACATTGAGAGCATTTTTGATCATCGTCACTTGCAAACTCCCAAATCATCACCAAAACCAACCAAAATTGGCAACAAAAGACACACAAATTTAAAACTCTCTTCCAAAAAAATTAAAATGAAAAAAAAATGTATGTTCTTTTTTAATTTTTCTTTGCTAAAATTATGTGTATTTTTTTTTTCGATACTTCTTTTGAGTGTTTATCATTTTTCCCTTTCCTTGATACTACTGCTGAAAGTTTTACTTGTCAAGCCACTTTGTGTAACCTCAGCTAAAGCTGCCGTAGGAAATGTATCCCTAATCTAAGTATTCTAATACCAACCCCCCACACCAAATCCATTTAATCATACCTAACAACACCCCCACAACAACACCTTACATTTACACACAAACACACACACACACATACCATATACATGTGTATGTATATCTTTGTGTATTTTTAAGTTGCATTTTATTATTTCTTTGACGAATTCATAGCCGTTAAAGCCAATTACAATGTTAAGTGAAAGGAACTAAAGAGAAATAAAGAATTTTATTTCCAAATCATGGCCAAATGCCTTTGGAGAGTAAACTTTGTAACTGGTTCACATCATTTTGTGCATAAAGTTTTATATTGTGGTTAAATGATATAGCAGTTGAATTTTAAAATAGCGGAATGAATATTTTGATTCTCTTATTATATAACCCTGATTCAAAGATTAAAGAATAATTCTAGAAATATAAACAAAAAACAATAATTTCAATTCATTTTTTACAAAGGAGGAAAAACGGACATTGGTTAGAAACCTATATTCCTGTAAAGTAATGTCCTCTGCTATAAAATAAAGGGTGCATCACACTTCGTTTGAAGCACCTAAAAATAGTCATGATCAGCATGAAATTCGATGTCGATTTCGTCATGCCAGTCTTTTAAAGCCACGATTGAAATTGTCCTATTAAAATAGTGCTTTCGCTCCAAAATTAGGTATAGACCCCCTGGCAACGCTACCTCTTAATTTTTTTGTTATTTTAATTGTTTAGGTCCCAGATTCCAATGAAATCAGTTATAAATACACATGACGAGTTCTCAGCGATTTAGTTTTACTCTTTGCAAAAAATATTCAATGCGGATAACATTTTTAGGTGTATACGCGACCTCTTGATTTTCGGATTTTTAAAGGTTTCTGTCGTAATTCCCAAACACATCAGCTGTGATGTGAAATTTCGGATTCTTTGTGGAAAAATGAACACCCATCGTGAACTATTTTTTAACTTTTTCATAACCAGACTTCGAAAAACTCGCTCAAAGTCTGCGGGAGCACTTTTGGGAGTAGAAAAAACGAGTATAACTATATTATTCGGTTTCGCTCAAAAAAGGGCGAGCACGCTTTGCTCGTTTTAGAGTGCGATCAGCAGATTCTATTTTTTGGCCCGTACTCTACTAGTTTTTCAGACGCTGTTGTTGTAGTTCCATGTATGAGTATTGTTTGCTTTTGTACACAAATTTCACCGGTCCATTGCTTCAACTGACACAAATTTTCTGTCATAGGCTGTAGTATTCATTACGCACTTCAAATACGAAATTCCGCTAAAAAGTGTCTCTAAAATCATCAAAAAACAGAATATCGGGAGGTATCGTTATATGGGAGCTATATGAAACGATGACCGACATGGCTCATTCACGAACTAAACCTGTCTTCTGGCAAAATACACATTTGTGCAAAATTTTAATCTTCTATCTCAATTGGTTTGAAAGATAGCGTGATTGCAACAGAGAGACACATAGACAGATGTATATCACTAAATCGACTTAGAATTTTACGCTGATCAAAAATATATATACTTTGTTGGGTCTGACATAAGTATTTCGGGCAATTACAAAAGGAATAACAAAGATAATATACCCTCCATAGAATGCTGGAGAGCATAAAAAAGAGTGAAGAGTTAACTCCGTATAGAAGTGAACTAATTTAGCAAATATGTTAAAAAATTTTCTGAAAATCTAATGCAATTTTTTTTTGTGGTGCAGGGCCCCGATAGAATGACTCATTTCTGCCATGCTTGTATATTTCACATAGAAAAGTTACATTTTTCTAGTTGCCCCCAGCCCAATTGTATCCGGAATTCAATAATGCGAACTTCCCTGGTCTGAGGGTATAGATATTGTAATGTTCGCTTAGATGGACGGCATCTATATAGTTTCCTCTCAAGTTAACTGTGACTAGAATATTACGATGTGCGATTTTCGAACAATTAATAGACCTCCCTCGACATATGCGAAATTCAAACTTGATACGTAATATTTTTATCAAGCTTGAATTTCTGAGCTGAAAACGTCAAATTTCGAGCTGGTCTAAAAATGATTGGAATATGCACATAGCATAATCGACCCAATATGATATATTTTATTGAGAGGGCATATTTTTACCATATCATATATATACTTTGCGTCCTTGACCCTACTACGAAGGAGGTAAATAACAACAGCGATAAATCTAAAGATTGCCAAATATATTTATATTTTGAAATTTTCTGCTTTATCTTTCTATCATCTACGGACATAAAATATTCTTAAAAAAAGAAGTTGGCTATAGATAATTTTTCTTATATGATTGCACCGACTTCCTCAAGATTTGAAGAAGTATATTTTTTGTGTGATTTTTTTGTCTATCAAATATATAATATTAAATATAAAATATTTCCCATTCTTTAAAAAGTAAAATATAAAAATGAAAATGTTGTGCCTCCTGTATATAAGGAACTCCTAAGAAAGGCTTTTTGTTCAGATCAGTACCATAAAATAAATATATGTGGTATTTCAGACTTTTAAATACAGTTTTTTTTTTAAATTATGACCACAATCAATAAAAACTCGTCCCTATGAAATTCATACAGTTATATTAATATGTAACCACAATTTAAAACCCACTTCAAGTTATTATTTTTGTCATAATTTCCATCATTTGAATGTAAACTGCTTGAGCAATAACACTACAAAAAACCTTATTTTTTATTTATGAAAAGAAAAAAAAAACTAAAAAATATTCCTTTCCCCATTCTTTTCAACAGGAGCACGGAGCTTTGAAGGCATTCTTCGATACAATTATGGCCAATGGCGGTTATGTTCTGAATGACATTAAAAACTACAGCAAAGTTACAATTTTGGCACCCAGCAATGAGGCTTGGGAAAATCCTGCCATTGAACATATTAGAAAGTATGTCAGCGACTGGTGATTATTCATTTTCTTTTGTTGTTGTTTTTACGTTTGTATTATGATTTTGTTACTATCCGACCCCCTCCTCTCCCACCCACCACACACAAAAGGAGAGCAATATTGAATAACAAACGTATTTTATTTTTTTAGCAACACCGAGAGAATGCGTGAAATTCTGAATATGCACATCATCCGGGATCCCTTGAATATTGAAAACATTAAAGAGAAGAACCAGAACATGGTGAGATTTAATGATGAGATACCCTTGTGCAATGCATTACATCACAATAACATTTCCTTTATTTTCATCCTTTTTGGGGGGGACAGATTGCCCAAGTACCCACTCTGAGCAACCATACCTTCCTGTACTTCAACATCAATGGCGAGGGCGAAGATGAAGTCATCACAGTGGAGGGTGGCGGTGTCAATGCCACAATTGTCCAGGCGGATGTTGCCAACACAAACGGCTTCGTACACATTATTGACAAAGTTTTGGGTATCCCCTCCACAACGGTGCTGGGCAAAATGGAAAGTGACCCCATGTTAAGGTAATTGGATAAAACACGCAATTGCTTTCACATGCCAATGTCAACTGAGCCTCCTCTCTTTTATTTTTCTTTTCTATAGCGACACCTACAAAATGGGACAATTCTCTTCCTTCAACGAACAGCTGAACAACACAAATAGGCATTTTACTTATTTCGTACCACGCGACAAGGGTTGGCAAAAAATTGAATTGGACCATCCCTCGGTGCACAAGAAATTGTTCATGAGAGATTTTGCCTATCATGTAAGAAGATGACAGAATTGCTGCTTTGATGGAGTAATGTTAACTGATTATAATTTTTTTAGTCCCGTGCTGTTTTGGAACGTCATTTGGTCATTGCAGATCAAGTTTATACCATGAAGGACCTGGTTACCATGTCAAAACAAAACGACTCGATTCGCCTGCCCACATTTAGAGATTCACTCAAAATCCGAGTTGAAGAGGAGGCTGGACGTAAGTATTCTTTACAAATTATATTTAAAAGCTTGGTATTTGGGTAAATATTTTTTCGAACGTTGGTTGAGATTTGTGTTTATGAAAAATCAAGAAATTAGAAATTATACTAACATTCTCTAAACTTTTATTTGGATTTATTTTTCAAAAAAACTCCAAGATCTTCATGATGAGTTTGCTTCTCATGAATGGAACGGTGAGTTTTAATATGAGAACGAAACCACACACATACACACAAACAATCATGGAATCATAACCTGCAAATACATATATCGAGCTTCAATATCCATTCATTTAATCATCAAACGCATGACGCGAAAAGGAAAACAATTTGAGCGACTACAAATTTTCTCAGTTCATGTCTCAATACTTGAAATTTTCTTAGTAGGAACGGGAGAATTCATGTTTTGAAATAAAAATTAGGAATAGTTAGAAAAAATGTAGTCACAGGTATTTTTGAGAGAAAACGGGTCTACTCAACTACTCCTCGATACGAACTCGGACAGTTTGGTTTGTTGGGTACAAATGTAGTCCCAACACGCATACATACATGCAATTTTTTATTTATGCCATATTATAAATATATTTTCGAGGTTTCTTCCTACATTTGCAACCAAATGAACGGCAATTTGAAATTTCGGGCTCTCAAACTTTTCAAATTCTCAATTTTATTTCATGTGGCCAATTTTTCATAGATGGTTCTCTACCGCCAAATTGTATACCAATCGATTGGGAAAAACATGGTCAAGACCTTCGAGATGGATTAAATCAGGAGGTATTTTTATATGGTATAAGTTGACAATTTTCTGCGAAGAGGCCAAATAATTTGAAAAATATGGTCAAGACCCCTGTAATAGGTGAAATCAGGATATTTATTTATATATTCATATGAGGGTTATACCAAAACGTGGGCCTATATTGATAATTCGCATGGTTTCTTCATGACATGCCACATATTTTGTACAAATGATTCCACATGTTACTCGTTAGCGTATATCAAATCTAAAATCTCTATCTTAAATTTTGGAAATACAGGGTGAGATAAAAAACTGCAACAAAGCCATAATTTTGCCATAATTTTTACATTTTTTTTTTTTAATTTTATTGAAAAAAAGTCGGAAATAGCATAAAATTTTAGATTAAGTTTAGATTTGTCCGAATTGGTCACTTTTGGCACGAATTATGGCCTTCAAACGGCCAATGAAACCGTTACACGCTGCCCTAATGTTGCTCTGCGGTATTTTGGTCCATTCCCGGCGAAGCGCTTGCTTGAGGTGATCGAAACTTTGGTATTTTTTAGTGCCAACCCTGATACCTAAAATACTTCAGACACAATAGTCCAACGGTTGGTATCCGGAGATTTTGGTGGCCATTGTGCGCTGAAAATGAAGCGAGGAACCTCATTTTGTAACCATTCTTGGATGGCGCGTGCTGAGTGCGATGGTGCTGAGTCCTGTTGGAATGTCCAAGATCTGCGGCCAAAATTTTTGCTTGCCTTGCATATTTTCAGCAGACCTCTTTGGCAAGTAAACACGATCATTTTGTTTGTTTACAAACTTCTGGACAACGAATGTTTTCTTATCGGAGAAAACTAAATTCGGCAGTTCACCACTCTCGGCCAAGCGAAGCAACTCTTTAGCTCTTTTGAATTTATTTTCTTTCTGTTGCGGTGTCAGTTCTTGCACTTTTGGAATTTCAATGGCTTAACCCCGAGCTCATTTTTCAATATTAGCCGAATGGAATATTGCGATATGTTGAGGTCACAAGCCATTTTTTGGCAACTGCGACGCGGGTTTCGAACAAGTAGCTTCGTTTCTTTTCGAACCATTTCTGCTGATGTTGCTGTTTTCTTCCGTCCACTTCCTTGACATCGGGCTACGCTACCAGTATCACGATAACGAGCGATGGCACGAGATACAAAATATTTATTCACGTTTAAATGCTGGAGTGCTCCCACGATAGCCACTTGTGGGTTTCCAGGAAAATATAAAGAAATCACACTATCACGCTTGAATTACACGAATAAATTTTTTTCTGAAAACTTCTCACCAAAAGCTTTTGTACGCTTGTAAAAAATATAATGAGCTGTCAATGGAATAATTTCAACAGCTATCGGACGAGTTGCTTAGAAATGGCAGCACTCTTAAAGGAACATAGAGCTGTTCCTTTAAATTTTGCACAAACCAATATTTTTATGTGTATTAAATGATGTGGAATATTTCGGTCCTCCATATCTGGTACCTCACGCATTTTTTCAAATTTTCCAAAAACTTGCACATATATCATATAAAGTATAGGAAGTAGACGATATAGTCCAAATATGGCACGTTTTAATATTTATATCAGTCTTATACCAGATACGAATTGATAAATATTGGCCAACTGCTTCGGAACCACCCCCATAATGGGTCAATAGTTTGGATAATTATAGCTCAAGACTGGGGGTATAAATCTGTCGGCAATACCGACTGATACTATTCATCTTGTTTTTTTTTTTTTTTTTAATTTTTCCATTTATTTTTTGAATTGGAAAAATATATAAAAATATAGCATGCATATCATACATATTAACCCCCCCTCATATTATCCTATGATATTTACTTCACTATTGTTCTCTAACAAAATGATTTTCTCTTTTTCTAGGCTATGTCATCATTTGGAACCACAAGAAAATCAATGTCTATCGTCCCGATGTGGAGTGCATCAATGGCGTCATACATGTAATCGACTATCCCATGTTGGAGGAGAAGGATGTTGTCGCGAGCGGAGGTAGTTATCAGATCACGACTAACTTCTGCATATTGTTTGCAAATCTCTTCATCATAGCAATAGCAAAAATTCTTTTCTAAACCAACCAACCAAACAACAAAACCAAAATCTTTCTAAAAAAAATAACAACAAACTCCTAAAAATATAAATATTTAAAAATCATGAAAATCCATTAAACAACACATTAAAATAATAACGAACCAATTGTGTATAAAGTAAAAAAACAGAAAAATTAAAAAAAATAATTTCATTTTCTAAATAAAAAAACGCATTTGAAAAAATACATGCATCTACACCTAAAACATTAAATGTCATTAATGCTCTCAAACACACACACACACAAACACATGTATCATTTTTATAAATTATGCATTTCGTTTTGAATTTGAGAAAAAAAACAACAAAAACAAAATTAAGCCACTTTAGCCTTAAAACACGCATTAAAGTTTTCAAAAATTAAATCTAAAACAAAAAATTGAAAAATAAAATTTGTAACTTTAAATTGAGAAAAAAAAATTAAAAAAAAAAAACAAGAAAATCTATAAGAAATTTGTAGTTAATATATATAAATGTTTAATTGACAACAAAATTGACTCATTGAATTTTTTGTTTGAAATTTAATAAGAACATACACACATACATTTGTAAAATTCAAGCCTTATTGTCTGCCACCTTAGACGTTTGGTTTTTTAGGTATTTTAGAATTTTGAATTGAATACTCCTCCCGCTCCCTCCAAGAATGTAATGTTAATATGTATTAAAAATATTTGCCCAATTTTGCCGCCCTTTTTCATTTAAGCTATACATGATACATAACATACAAACAAACATAAGCATAAGTCACATAACTAGTTTGCCTTTCATTTTGTTCGCATTCGAAGCATTCGAAACAGAAGGAAACCAAAAACCTCATATTTTATGCCTCCTAGTTTTCTTTTTCCATAGCATTTAGTTCTTTTGTATATTATTATTCACATAACTACATTTACATACATCGTATTATATATTTTCTATTTTTATTTTTAGTTCTAAGTTGTGATTTATTTTTTATTTTATTTCTTTTTAAAGGCATATTTAGAAAATAAAAATGAAAGACCTTTTTTTGTTTAGTAAACACCGACTGCCAACACAGTAGGACAAATGAAAATATGTGAAATGATAAAAAAAGACTAATAAAAAGTATTAATAAAATATCAATAATTGGAAATTGGTTTTTAATTCGAAATTTAAAAAAATATTGAATGATTAAAATTCAAAATCCATATACATCCTATATTCTCCGGATAAATCGAAATGTCATTTCAAAAAAAAAAAAAAAAAAAAAAAAAAAAAAAAACTTAGAGATTGTCGCGTATTCTCTGGTATTTAACTTTCGAAATAACTGTAGCTCTGAAAATTCCTGTAACTGCGTTGTGCAATTAACAATGGATAATGGATTTAAAATTATGTGTGACTATTTAAAAAATATGCCTAACGAATTTCTAATAAAATCAGCGTCATACAAACCCGATGTATTTCATGCAGTGTTTTGTGTTCAGTTTTAACAAATACGTGACACAGTGCATTTTGTTCATTTATTTACAAGAAATGTAGAGAATTACAAGCATATTGGTGATTCATTAAAAATCGGATTCCAAAATTTAGATAATCATATGTGACCCAGATACAACGAACTAAGTTCAATTTGGTCCATATGTCGAAGCTAAACTTTTACTGAGAACGTTAAATATTGTATCCAATTTCGCTTCGAGTTATGAGGGTGTTATTCAAGAAACATCTTCCTAATGTCTATAGTGGACGATTTCTATTGCCATTGATTTTCCCAATTAAGTCCTGTGTCTACAGAGAGAATATACATATCAATGTATAGGGACAAACACACATACTAATATAAACCCCATTTTGTACTCATGTCTATTTGGGCGCCATTTGTTTTAGAACAAACTTTGGACGTCTTAATATTTCTAACTATCTTAGATCGGTTCGAAGATGGGCAACATCAGTAAACTTGCCCCAAAACATGTATTATAAATCGAAGTAACATATTGAGCCACCCTCTTTGTGATATTACGTTGAACAGCTACCTTCGAAAATGGAAATATCAGTCCACTCTGCTTGGTAACTTTCCAAAGTTAGACTAAGTGAAAAGATTGAATACTTAGCCCTTTTTTCTTGTCAGTCAATATTTTGAAATAAAAAATCAATAAATTTGGAACATGTACCTTCTGTTAATGCTTGGTACAATAACAATTCTTATAAAAAATGAGTGCCCGCCTATTTGTCTTGAAACCGGATTTCTGAAAAAAAAACTCTCTTAAATTCGAGTAACGATTTAAAATCGCTCGAAGTCATGCGGAAGCACTCCTGAGAGTAGAAAATACAAAACAAGAAATCTCCATTTTTCGTTTGCGAATATTTTTCGATGGAGCAGCAATATCAAAACCAGGGCTCAGATGTGCTCATTTTCACTCGGGAGCGAATCTTGCTCGCGAGTAGGATTGCTCAAAGAGTGGAAGTTTTTTTACGGAGTCTAATCTTCATTTTTTGTTTTGTGTGGGAGCTCTCCTGAGTCACTTCTGTCTGAACAATTAGAGTGGGATCAGGATCACTCAAAATTTATCAAGAGTTTGCTCTAAGAGTGAAAATGAGTAGAACATTTTTTTGTTTGGTGATTTGTGTGTGCGTGTGTGTTGCTGTGAACTTTAAAGGGAGGGAGGCAGGGGGCTCAGGTTAATAGTGTACAAAATCAAAGAAAAAATCAGCAGAATGTAATTGCGATGCTTCTGTTTGATCTCATTGTTTTTGTTACGTTTGCAACTGGTGGTTGCAAAAATACACACACACATCGATTTTGAACAAATTTTGCTCCCTCTCAAAAACATACTCACTCCCACTCGAGTGACATCGAAAAAATGAGTTTACTCAATTTTTTTTCTGCTCCCAGGATCGCAATCGCTCGAAATCGAGTGAGCTTCACTCTTTGGGTCTGATCAAAACCCGTTTGCTATTACACACACAAATCAGTAAACAAAATATCCACTCTTAGAGAGAACTCTTGCTCTATTTAGAGCGATTCTGTTCCCACTTTAATTTTTCAAACAGGAGTGACTCGGAAGCGCTGCCACAAAAAAAAAATAAATAAATGAAGACTGAAGAGTAGGCTCTGTTAAAAACTCCGCTTCAAACTTCGCATATCAAAATATTTTATTACAAATTTGGATGCGGAGCGCTTTCTTATAGATTTTCCCCCTTATTTATGACACATCGGACGTTAAAAATTATTTTTATGACAAAATAAGATTTGGCACAGATTTAACTAGTTTTCGCCGTCTAAAAGCGGAAAAAAATTCTCCGTTTAAACATTTTTTAACATGTCAGAGACGAAATAAGTGTATACTAGTTACACTGGATGATCAATTATAGTTACAAAATTCCTTCTTTTAGAATTGTACATTTCAAATAAATATAATTAGGTATGTCATGAAAACCTTTACATCTCGCTTTGGCATAAATCTTATATCTCAGATGTCACTAATTCTTTTATTGCAATTACATTTTAAGAATATTTTTCCAAAAAAAAAAAAAAAAAAACCTGTTTTGGCATCTAGCTTTACATAAATATATCCGATTTCACAATTCGAATTGGTTTCCACCACATACCTGAATATTTCTTCCACATAATCAATTGTTCTACTGTGTTGATTTTATAAAGAAAATAATTTTAGTTTTATTTTGAAAAATAATTTATTTCATAATAATTTATTTTTTATTTTGAAATGAATTTAATTTCTTAGGGCAACCTTCAATGTAACACACCCCTTCATGAAATCTTTCAAATTGATAAAAGAAACTGCCGTTAAAGTTAAAACTAAAAAAAAAACAAAGTAAATAAAGAACAATTTAAAAACTAAACACCAGTTTTGTATAAAAAACTATTTTCTATAATATTGCAGTTTAGTTTTATTATTATTATATTAGAAAAAACATAAAAAAAATCCAACCAAATCCAAAAAAAATAAAAGCAATCATATAAAGAAAACATGCTAATATCACATAATTTTATTTATTATTTAAAAAAAAAATAAACATAAACATATGTAATGATGTTAAAGATTAGTTAAGAGAATGCAATATTTTGAGCTTAAAGTTGGTGGTATGGTCTTAGCCTGCCAGTTTCGTACCTCACACATTATTCCATTGAATCCACATCGTAACGAATTTGCAAAGTTAGCTGCCAGTTGCCATCTGTGTTCCATGTAGCAAAGCAAAAGTCACTCACATCATAGATGGGCAAGTAGCCACGCTAGCGTTGCTGTCTCTCATTCTCTGTCATGAGTAAAACATCAACACAGGAAAATTATTTTAAAATTCTCTTAAGAGTATCTCCTTCATTATTTTGCCAATATATGATCATATCCATGGCCATGATTCTCTCTCGCTCTCTCATTAATTCATTTTTGTAATCAAACCTAGTTGTACTTACAAGTATTTGTAACCCGAAAAACTCCCTTTTTATTTGTTACATTGGCACTTCCTCCCATCCCCCCACCTTTCCAAATAATTTCCACTGCATAGCAAGCAAGTAAATAATATTCCCAAACACGGAGAAATAGTCTTTTAACCTGTAGCAACAACAACAACCGATCTCTCTTTCTCTCTCTCTCTCTTGTACGTTTCCATAACTCTTCAAATATATTCTCTTCTGCTAATTTTTATGGAACTATTTAAAAAAAAAAATAATTTATTTTCACATAATTATTATTGTTGTTTTTATAGGTTAGACATTTTATAACAAAAAAACAAAGTAAACCACAAAAAACAGAAAAATAACCAACTCTCCCTTCAACTCCAAACTGTAAACCAATTAAATAAAAAATTGTCCCAAGCGAAAAGTCGAAGCGAATCAATAGAACCAACCACACTTGCCATAAAGAACCAAGTAACGAATTGATAAATATCTAAATCAATGGAAATTTTTGTTCGAAATTTTGAATATAATTTTGCTAGAAATAAAAAAATATCGTGAGATATGTTTGAATGTGGATAACTTCTGGACTGGGATGGTCAATTGGGAAACAAAATACCAACATTTTTGGGGTGTCTTTAGAACACATGTAGTCATTCGAATATATAAGTATTTTTTATTTTATTTTTATTTATTTATTTATTTTTTTGACAAGATAACTTCGGTTTATTGAAGAATGTGAATCTTATTCGAATAGTCTCTTGGACAACAGAGATAAATATTCCCAATTGTTTATGTTTCCAGAATTACAATTTTTCGCCAGAATCGAATTTTTTGAAACGCCCAAGCAAAATATCTTGGTATATTGTTAAAAAAATAAAAAAAAAAACGTTCGACCAATATTAATTAATATGAATACCTAGTGTCTGGTTTTAATAAAAATTACTTCAATAGTTCACCTTTTTTCCATTAATTATCCACTTTCAATCATACTCCTCGTTTGCAGTTGTAATCATTGAATAATTTTAATTTAATTTCAAATAAATTATTTAGCTTAAATAATATTTCTTACTTTTTTTGTAGTAGCTAAGTAAATATAAATATTTAATGGAACCCTTAGGGATTGAACAAAAACAAAAAAATATATATATCCAACTCTCCCCTCAAGATAAATGATAAGCAAAAGATGTGTGTGTATATTTTGCTCTCTAACTAAAACTACAACAAAAACTCAATCAAATGATAATAATAAAAGTGAAAATAATAAATAAATATTTAATAGTTAAAAAAAATCAATTTCCAATTAAATAAAGAGGATTAATTTTTAATGTAGTGTTTAAAAAAAAAGTAAAAAGCCTATTTTAAAAATAAAAAAATAAAATGAATTACCACAGAAAAGCATACACGCGCCCACCAATCTTTCAAAAATCTACAAATTTATGGCAATAAATTGTTTATGTTTTTATTTGTTTAGCTGGAAGAATAAAAATAATACCAAAAAAATATTATTTCAATTATCAAAATCAGAAATTGTTTTTTGTTAAAGTTTTAAGAGGATCGGAGGATGACAGGATTTAGCCAAGGTAGAATTGATGGACATTTCCAATAGAATATTTGTTTTGTTTGCTTTAAAAAAAATCAAAATTATAAAATTCAGTGCTTTCCGTTTTTTCCTCTTCTTCTTGGTTTAAGCATGTCTTACTTGAATCAGATTTTGTTTTTTAGTTTTTTATGCTCTCCAATCATGTCTTTCACTTTCATACAAACAAGAGCTTTTCCCCAAATCGTTAGAAAGAAATTTTTTGTCTGCAATACACATGCGCATGAGAACACCTTGTAGTGAAAAAAAACGTCAAGTCGACACTTTGTTTTAAATGTTTGTCGTTTTTCGACAGTCAAACACTCGTTTTTTGATTTAAAACAAAAATCAATTACTTTCATGTCATTTCGACCATGCCGGGAATCTATAAAAAATATATAATATTTTATATGACAATTGTGTTTAAATTAGATTGCCTTACGGAAATGTTTTCAATTTTCAAAAAAAAAAAATTAAAAAAATCAGATTTTGAAATTATTTTGAAATTACAATCTTTAGGGTTGAATTTAAAGCAATCTAAACTTTTGACATTTGTTAACATAAAATATTGAAAAGATTTACTGGAAAATTATCTCCCCCCCATTTCAGGCTATTCGTGAATATCACCCATATTTTATCGAATCCCAGCAACAAGAAATAATTTTTCAATTTTATTACAGGTCGTTCATGTTAAAATTGCCGTTAATTGGTTCTGAAAAAAAACTTCAAAGTTGAACTCCAAGCTGCAGGCAGAATAACTTTTGTTTCTCTCTCCCTCTATATGTCTCCATTGTCTTAATAGACTGACCAAAAACAAAAATGAAAAATTTCGAGCAGAGTCGGACAATTTCATTGGCATTCTTTTCAATTTCTTCCAAAAACAACATTCCTCAATTTTTCCTCTTGAAATTTTTCCTAAATGCAATTTTACGATTTAAAATTTGTCGTTCTTTGGCAGAAAGAAAAAAATTAAATTCAAAAATTAAAAAAAAAATTGAAAATATACATATGTTAAAAGCTTTTCTTATTGTTAAACGTAGATGAAGTTACCATAAACAAATAAACCACAACCTCTCCTTCTATTTTGGTAGTAGTTGTAGTTCAGATTAAGCTAAAACAAATTGTGAGAACAAACTAAAACCCAAAGAATAAAACCGAAACCCATTAAAAATGATACTAACACAATGCTGCTACATATATATACATACATATATTGTAAAATGATGCTAATCGCCCCCTACCCCTTAAAGGAAAACAAATATATCTACATTAATTAAATATATTTATAATAATGAACAAATTGCATACAAACAAAACATAACAAAACATACATGTATCCTGATATACCTATTGCTAAATAATAAGCTTTAAACAATAACAAAAACCACATACATAAATATATAATAATTAATTAACAATAAAACCAAACCAAAAATAATATTTAAAAAATGAATTAAAAATTTACAACTGAATTTAAGAGGTATCTAGATCTAATCTCCGTAGTCAGTAGTTACACGTTAAAGATGGTCCCCGAAATCTCCTCCCCACTCTCAGACAACATGACTCATCAAGCCCTGAGTTTGTGAGGTGGACAAAATGTAGCTTAAATCACAATTTGCAGGAAATTTAGAACAAAAAAGAAATAAAACGTAAAAACAAAAACTAAATAAAAAGTAGATAGATTAACGTGTAACTAGTGCCTTACTAAATGTTTAACTCAAATACCTAAGAATAATAAACAAATCTAATTAAAAAACAGAAAGAAATAAAAACAAAATACAACAACAATAAAAAAAACATTTATGAATTTATTGGGAATGATGCTAGGGCGCCATTTTCAAAGGCAATAACCTCATTCGAAATTCTGTTGCAAAATTTGATAAAAAATTTCTCAAGTTTTAAATATTTTTTATTTAATAATGGGTGTGTCTAATCTAATTAAAAAAGAAAATACATCATTATTGGGAATGGTGCTAGGGCGCTATTTCAATGGAAATAAGGTAATACATATGGTCGACATTCTGTTGTAAAAATTCATTAAATAAAACTCAAGTTTGAATATTTTTTTCATTCAATAAAGCGTGTTTCCGGTTTCTTTTCATGCTGAAATTCTCCAGCAGCTTCTTTTTGAGAGAGTAAAATAGTTTTACAACTCTTTTGCTAAAAAAATGAGAAAAAAGTAAACAGACGGGATCCCAGCAATAACTTGGAAGCAATCAGCTGGTTTGTCAAAACGAAGCACGTAAAAACTAAGAATGAGAGGAAAAACAAAACAATCGGAAGTCTAGATTTCCAGGAGGTAGAATAGCTTCGTAAAACTACAGAAATACAGACCTGAGGCTATGCCCCCTTCCTGGTAGAATTATTCAAAATTATAATAAATATGTTGTTGACATTTTTTGTTCATTTCTAAAATGAGTCAAATAACGCGAAAGATAAATGAAATGTCTGGATGTTCTCTCAAAAATATGATCCTAAGTGTTCAATCTTTCAATTCCGTGGCAAATGAGGTTAATTTTTGTTAAATAACCAACCAATCAATGTCATTTAATTCTTTAAAAATTATCATTAATTAATTAATTTTAAAATAATATATATAATGGAAAATTCAACTTTAATTTTCTCTTAAAAATCTCTTTACATTATTTTGCTCAGCCCTATTTTAAAACTGTTTTCCCAAATATGAATTACCGAAAGGAGAAAGAGAAGAATTGCAAGTGATTGCAAACTCTCTCTGATAGAATCTCCTCTCGCAGTGTTCTCTTTTGCAAAAAGGTTTTGTTTTAACAGACAACTTCCAGTAAAAATGGTATGGTATCGAGACTCACCTAATATTTTCTCATCGATAATAAACAGCTTCAACACAATGGCTTCAAGCAATGCTATTCAAATTTGCAAAAAGGTTTTATCAAAGGCTACTTTTTTTCTCGTGGACTTTCTAAAATTCGCAATGGGATCTGCCAAAAAGACCTTTGAATAAAAATGCAAATAAAGGTCACAATTTGAAGGGAGTTCCACAAATGCCCCTTTTAAAGTTTAAAATCTTCCACTTGCCTATTACGAGGAAGCTCGATTTTTTAATGTTCACCCAAGCGATTACATTCCCAAAATAATAAATCATATTTTTAAACATAAATAAACGACGCCTGTCATAACAATAATTACAACAAAAGAAATGAAAAACAAAAACCAAACGGGATTTAAAATAAATGTATAAAAAAAAAACAATATTGCAGGCATCAGTACCAAAATTATTATTTCTTAAGGCATATTTATTTACAAACTATGTTTAAAATAAAAACAAATCTAATGAAAATATAAAAATAAATATATACATATATTTATGGAATGCATCTATATGAATAAGTAAGAAAAAAAATAAAATCTAAAAACAAAAATTAATAAATGTCAAATTGCAAATTTAACAAAAAAAAAAAAAAAAAACAATTTATGTATAAATTAAAAATTATATATACAAAACAAACCAAATCAATATAAAGTATTAACAAAAAAATGCTTAAGACGTCTTATTTTTCTGCTAATTATTCAAATTGAACAAAAAAACAAGCTAATGTTGAATAAAAATGTATTTATTTTTCTATACCACATACATGAACCTGCGAACCATGCATTAAGTAAATCCAAAAAAAATTAAACAAAATAGGTAGCTACACACCTAGCTATATAAAACAGATAATTAATAAATTTAATAAAAATAATTTAAAGAAAATGAAAAAAAAAAAAACAAACTTGTAGACAGGCCATCCACATGCAATACGTATTCGTAACAAGAACAAAAAATTTAAACTCAAATCAAATCAATTTGAAATACTGATTGATAATGATAAAAGAAAAAAATGAATGTCACGCTTTAAAGCCAATAAAGAAAGATTTTTTAAAAACTCTAAAGAATTGTTTTGATTTTTAAGATTTTCAGCATGGAGGTAAGTTGGAAAATATTTGCAGTTTTAATGACTGTATTTGGTTGGGAGGAAAGATTCTTGAAAATGTTCTCTTATTGGAAGCTCCACGAAACTTGTAACCCTCAGAACTACTGTGAACTGCGATTCCTCTTTACCTTGATGACTCTACATATATATTAATTGATACGGTAAAGCATTTGATCACCATGTACCCGGACAGATATCCATAAGTATGTTTCCAACATATACAATAGAATAATACTCCGATCTACAATGGGAGATTTTATTTTCTGAGTGTTTCTATTAGAGCCCGAAACAAAAAAAAATAGATTACACAATGGCTTAAGATATCCACATTTAATAACTTTATTGAAGTTAATAACATTTCATACAGCTATACACTCTCGATAATGATAACATGTGCTATATGTTCACATAACACATAACCCACCCTTACGGAACTACTGAAGTTAATGAAGTTGCATTGGTTCATTTGTGATAATAGTTAGGTTGCTACTTTCGGCAACATTACAAAATAAAACCAGTAAGGAAAAGTCAAAAGTCGGGCGGGCCGACTATACGATACCCTACACCACTATGCAGATTTAGTAGAGTTCCCGTAAAAGAAGAATTTATTTGAATTTATTTGAAGTAAGTCATACAAACCTATTAACATTTGGCTTTAGAGCAGCCATAGTTTGGTTTTAGAGCTACATTTCGATTGTATTCCTATTTTTTTTAATTGGCCATGGTGAGCAGGCATTTTCCGAACGCTCTGAATGAGAAAAGAAAACCAACCGAATATTTTGGCTGTTGATTCAATTCTGATTTTCATTTAAAAGTATATTTCTTAAGTGCTACTGAAACAAATTTATCTTAACCTAATCGCAGCCACACAATTATTCTTATCTATTCTAATACTGAATGGAGAACATTGCAGGGCTGCTTGTCATTTCATTCAAATGGTCTTGTGCATCTACGGAGCGCATTGATATCTGTGCGTGTGGATCATAGCCTTTATTATCTCACACATTGCGTCAGCGCACAAGATCACCGAATTGTTCACTGTGGTGTTTTATGGCGGCTGGGAAATATTTAATTTTCGAATATTTATTGATTATTGCTAGATTTTCCCAGCGCCTCAACCGCACTCAAAAGTATGTACAAAGTATTTTGTACACGCTCATATATTTCAATTTCAATATATGCGCACCAAATGTGTGATATCGGTTCAAAAAACTGGCCATAAATTAAGTTAATAAAAATTGTGTCATATTTAAAGGCCTGTTTCGGGATGAGTTTTTATTTTTATTACTATTTTTTATTTTTTTGATTTTTTTAGTTATATTTAAAATTAGAAAAACACATTCGGAATGGTGTTTTTCTTTCGCTTTCGATTTGATTTACACAACTTCTCATTATAAAGGAATATTTTTTACTAGTAGCTCTCTAAATATGCCTAGTAGTGTTGGGTATTATATAGTTAGCCTCGAACTACTTTTGTCCTTTCCTCTTCCTGTTTAAAATACTATTTTTTCTCGGAATTAAGTTTTTTAAGCTTGACTGATTAACTTCTGCTTTAACAAGATCTCGTCCCGATAGTTCCTGAAATGTAGTTTTGCTATTGTTCTAGCCAATTAAGACAACACTCGCCACTGAAAATATAAACAAACTCAACCATTCATATTTTCTGTTGCCTACTTTTAGGCAATAAGATAAAACACCAGAAACAGGGTGTTACCTAGTAAAAAAATCCGTTAATCGATTATAAATATTATCGGTTATCGAATTAGTAATCGTAACAGGTCTTCAACAACGGTCATCACAATCAGAGAAGGAACATTTCGCGCACCGTAACTTTTTATAACAATAATGTCTATATTTACCTAATGTAAAAAACAAGTTTTTTTTATTATTTTTCATTCTACATCCCTCGTAAATGGATCTTATTATTCAAAACATGTTCTATAATAATCGTAATAACAGATAATTCCACGAAAATATTTCACCTGAGAATAAATGATAATGAATCTATGTAAAATTGACATACATTGAAAGTACCATTGCAGTACAGGCGAGATTTTACCCGCCCTGGCCGCTACACCAACTGAGTGAATACTTATTTTCTTTGACACAGAATTGTGTTTTTGTTACGGCTTTAAAGTGTTGCTTTACACAGATTAAACTATAAAATAATAACAAATTGTTAACAAATGAAACAAATCAAAATGTGAAACGGAAATATCAAATAACTTTCAACGGAACATCCTAAAATCTCAATCAATCGAAAGAACAACAAGACGGCTGCGGAAACAATACAGTTTGCTCTCAAACAGCCCGTCAGTCAGTCACTCAGCCACATTCGACGACATTTGAAAGGCAGAAAAGCGTACGTGCGTACGTGCTAGTTGAAAGGTAGCTGATGGATACCAAAGTCCCCGCGATAGCCAAGGAGGAGATGGCGAACGAGTTCCATGAAATGGCAATGACAGAAGATATAAGTCTGTTGCGCCAGCCGATGAGAACGGCCCTCACCGGATTCCTGGAGGCGAAGAAAGCCTATGAGAATGGTACTGATGAGGTAAGTTTTGGCGGTTGATAGACATGAAGAGAGTCGGGTCGGGGTGAACAGCAATGGACTGTATTCTCTATTGCTAATTACCTTCTTCAGTATGTTGAGCTTCATGTTCGACAATTATGACCGTGTACACATCCACTTGTATGGATGGATGAATGGATTGAGATGTGCATAACCAATGGAATAGATTCGGAAAATAAAAACATTGTCACAGACTTTAGTATTGGCTGACCTCTTTTCTTTCTATTCTACCACTTTATTTCATGTTTGCCGTCGTCGTGTACATGTGTGCTGCGCCCATCCATTACTCCAGGTACGTCGCTTGCTGTTACATGAGTGTTCCATCATCTACGAGTGCAATGTGTGTCGCAATATGTTTCGCAGTTTGGTCAACTTTATCAGCCACAAACGCATCTACTGCAAATTGTCCGCCGAGGGAAATCAGCGACCCTATTCGGTAAGTTGTAACATTTATTACCATTCTGAGCTGAGCGGAATGCCAGAAAGAATGGCTAAAGTGATAAAATGAGTGAGTGATTCATTAAAAAAATCTTATTTTTTACAATGTTCAGTTCATAAAACAATTGCAAAGAATAAAATGGCGGATATATACCTACATAGTACATAGATATATAATGGAGTACCCAGTGCATCCGTCATTTGTAATGGATATAGGTATATATTATTTCTTCGAAAAAAAAAAACATCGGAGGGGTAAAATGAAGAAAAGTTACATAATGTAATTTATTCAAAGAAAATTCCATAAAAGTGTTTCAATTCGTTTTTAATTAGTTCAAAACAGTGACGTGGACTCACATAATGTGCTAATTTAGTCTTCTCCCCCCGATACACATAATTTGTTGAAAGTGATTTATAGTTTAATATTGTGAATCAAAACCGAACAGCTACCAATCTATGCTAGCAAATAACGTGCCTGCATATGTGTGTATTAGAATTTTTGATGGGTAATTGATGATGTTAAAGGTATGGTGTAGAACGAACGTTTTGTCTAATATCGGCCAAAATGAAACAGAAGAATGTGAAAATGTGCAATTGATATTTATATCGTAGTCAGTGTATTCCGATTTTGAAAATAATTACTTACACACATGTAGTACATTATAAAAAAAATAATTTATGTGTAACTTATTCAAATTGGATTGAATGCTATTCCGGCCATCTAACAGTGTTTGTTTCGTCTTCCATCTATTCAGAATGACGAAAACATTTTTAGACAGACATAAATGTCTAAGGATACATTGGCTATTTGCCTTAAAACTGTTAGGGACTTGCAACCTTTGGTGCTGAATGTCTGATTTTGTCAAGATATTTTTAAGCTACCCGGTTAATGATTACAATGCCCTGCACAACTTTTCTTCAACTCATACTCATATTAAACATAAAATGTGTATCTCCGTATATGGATGGTTGGACTATTTCCACTTCTCTTGGAATCCCAAACTGAATTTGGACAAATATTTTCAGTTGTAGTTTTACTTTGTTCAAATATATTATTTTTTATTGAGCGCCTATTTGTCTGGTATATTGTTGTAGCCCGTCAATTTATACATATTATTCATTCAAGCTATTGGTCTTACAAAATATACTCAATAATGTTCTCATGTCCGGTATTTAGCTGTCAAGGTTAAGGATGTGTGCATCATTTTATTGAGCCAATATTACTTTTATTGTTAACTTTTATGAATACAATAACTTTTCGGAAAATTAAAAAGCAAATACAGCTGTTAAAAATGTGTTTATTATATACCATAAAATTATTATATTCTTAAGGTCAAAACCATATTATTTATTAAAACTCTGTTAACATTTACAGCGGAGGTACAGGCCATGAAAAGTACTTCCTAGAGTATATTTTCTAAGAACCATAATATCGTATCATGATAAAATAAGCATTATCATTAAAATATTTTTTAATACATTTTGTTATAATTCTGTACCAAAATAAAATACACGAGAACTAATTTGGAAGTCACTTAAAATTAACTTCATTAGAGCCAAAACCCTGGCAGTGAAAGTTGTTTTAAATACTTTTCTGGTCTCTTGTCGCGAAGAGTGCACTTTATTTTTATTATTCATTTCACTCACATCCCATGAACACAGATCTAACACACACCTTGTGAGTCAACATCGTTATATTTAGAATTTTAATATTGAATTTTACGGTTATACGATTCTATATAAAGCCATTTATTAATAATTCACAATTTTTTTGTTTTTAGGATCACAACTCGAGCGTTATTATACAACCCACAGAGCAACGTTCTCAGGCGTGGTTTAGTAAAAGTCGCAGTACTGGATCATCACCAATACCAACAAAAACGTCATCACGCGATTTAAGCAAAGTCATTGAACGACTTAGACGTACTGAAATAAAATCAACAGAAACACTTAAAGATCAAAATGATGATTCTAAACGAAACGAGTGGCCCACAACTGGGCCAGAAGAAAAACAAGAATTGCCAGGGGAACAGCTTAAACCAGAACAAAACGATCCGATTTTGCAATTGGAGTCCGTTCCGACGTCAACCCAAGCTGTATATCAAACTCTTAAACCGTTCAATGCCAAGGACAGTATTAGGACTGAGGTTAACGAAGTTCATAATCTCCTTACCAATCAAAAGACCATGATAGGACCGGATGGCAAGGCCATAGTCAGTAATTCGTTTTTAACTGCAACTACTGTGAACTTGTTACCAAATGACACGCGTGAGGAGTCATCATTAGTAACAGCTCTGGACTCACTAAATGAATTAAAAACTTTAGCTATTAGTGATAAACTTGCAGATCTCCAACAGCAACAACAGCCAGAGGTAACCTGCGAGATGTGTCAGATGACTTTTCAAACCGAGAAAACTTTAAATATCCACATACAAAAGAAACACAATTCCTCGACATATGTATTCCAATGTCCAACATGTTCGTTGACATTCCTGCAACCTGCCGCAGTTATAAGGCATTTGGCCAACGAGCACAAGTAAGTAAAGTTAAATCAAATCAACTCCCCAACTTTTCTAATAGCGATGTGTGATTTGGTTCTTTTCCAGGAAACCCCTTAAAAGAATTCGTAAAATGCGGGAATCAATTTTGAAAAAACGTATTCAAATCGGAAATGTCCAAGTAAAGGGGCCATGTCGTGAATTAAAGGGCCTACAATTGGACTCTACCAAAGACTTGCTAAATGGCAACAATGAAAATGTTTTGTCGCAACCGAATGGTAAACCCGTATCGACATGCAGATATTGCCAACACACATTCGAGAAAAGGGCCGCATTTGCGACCCATTTAGCAAGTTGCTCTGCAAAGAACGAAACTGCCGTTAAAAAAGAAGTACAAACCAAGATCCGAGTAGCAACAAAAGAAGAAATTCACACCAAACTAAAAAACCAAAGTAACAAAATCTTAGACAAAAGCGTGGAAGAAAATCAAAACAATGAACCTGAAATCAAAACTGTCGATCAGAAACCGCTGATATCAAAACAAGAGACCCCAAACCATGGTCTTATTTCTTATTTTTATGATTGCGATGCGAATCATTTGAATGGCGTCAACATTAAACAAGAACCACACGAGGATGAGTTCAATTCAAATTCCACACATGCTACGAATGGCTCCGACATAAACGAAATGTTTGAAAATTTGGAAAAACAAACATTTGGTGAGGGTTTGCAAACAGTTTCACTGGATCTTATGGTATCAACACAACAACAACAGCAACAAGATACTCAGCAGGAATTAATGGCGGGAAACGTTCCACATGAAAATGGATGCAGTACCAACGAAATGTATCCCGAAATGAAACAAGAAGCCGATGGTGAGGAACAAATGTCTGAAGAATCTGCAATGGAGACATTATCAAAAGTTGAGATTCCAAAGAAAAAACCAAAGGGCTTTCGCACAGTGCCTGTATCCAAGCAGCTGACATGTCGCTGCAAGATTTGCAACAAACAGTTCAATGCATTGAGCAACCTGCGCCGACACATCTCAATGTTTCACTATCGAGCACGGCGTTTCGGCTGCAGCTTATGCGATTATCGTGCCTTCAGACGTTATGACATTGTTAATCATCTGTCATTTGTGCATAAAATGCAAGGGGAACGTGAGTCAATGGCAGTCGAATTTGTAACAATGCATGACGTCAAATATTCTAAGGATGATGTGGAACACGACATTGTGGTAGTCAATGAAGCAGGACCCACTATGACAAAAACAGCTGGACACGATGTGAAAACTTATGAAAACAAAGGAAAACGTAAAAAAGAGAAATTCTTGCCTGAAGATGAAGCCGTGAGAAAAGATCCCGAATCTGAAAGCCCCATCAAGATTGAAGCTCGAGCTTCACCCGCAAAATGTATCAGCAAAGCTGTGCGTTCGAAACTACGCAAAGCCTTATCGCACGAAGTGGAAATGGGCCAAAGAAGACCCATTCGCAATCGCATTAAAACAGTTAATAGTGATTTTGTTTATGATCTCTCCAGTCTGAAGGAAGAACCCAGAGAACAAACAATTAGGATTGCCCTGAAAAGGCGTAATACTGTTGGAATGGCGGATAACAAGGGCAACATATCCGCAGATTTGGCGCCACCTATTAAAATTGTACCCTACAGACTTAGAACCGAACCCCTTGTACCCACAAACAAAGAATCAGTCAAAGGTTATGCTGCTCGAATATACCGCAATGTGGTCCAGGAGGCTTTAGCTGCACCGTCTACATTGCCGGAGCTACCTGCTGAGAGGCCACTAATGAGGCCTCGTCTATCGTTACCTTGTCGTAGTGATTCTTTAAATGCACCCGTTATAGAAGCCACCGAACTAGAAGTGGCTCGCCTGGAATCTACTTTCTTTGATGATTCATTCCTGGAGAAGTTTGCCAAGAAATCGAATCCTTCTTTCAAAATGAAGCCTTTACTAGCATTACAGCACAGTCCTCTTAATTCGATACTACAAAAGTTCGAAAACAATTGCAACAAAGTTCAAAATTCTGAAAATTCGCCGACACATTCCTCACAAGAAAACGGTCTTGCTGGCGACGAGTCTTCAATACATTTTATGAACATCGAGACTACGCCGCCTAAAAATCCTACTCTCACCGTCATTGATAACCCATTGGAAGACTTACATGAACACGTTCTACAACAAATGGATAGTTCGCCGCCCAATGGCGCACACATTTTAGAATCTACATCACCGCCTTCGACACCCAAGAAAAGAATAACATTAATGCAAAGACTTGCCGAGAACAGAGCTAGAAGACGAGATCCCTTGTTAAGAAATGCTCTGGAAAACTAAGAAAAAAACTATAATGGAACAATACATTTTCGTATTATGCAGAAGACTATACAAATTAGTTGCTCCCTTAGGTTCGCCACATTACTTGTTTGCAGTTCGCATTTCATGTTACATTTTGAAAATTGAGTTTTCTAATTTTCGATTTCACAATATCTTATTGATTATTATTAAAGTGTCTATTCGAAATTTAGTTTCTAACTATGATATAAAGTATTTTTTGAATTATTATCCCATTCCAATTAAGATACAACCTCTTTTTATGATTGAGAAATACTTCTGAAGATTCTCCTCACATGTACAATTAAAAAGAAAAAAAACTTGAATATTGGTAACTTTGGTATATATCATTTCGTCAGTAAATGACACTTTATATGAATGTACCTTAAGCATAGTAATAGTCTAACCCATCGTAAATAGCTGATCGGCAAGAGTTGTGAAACAAGTTTTTTTTTTATTTATTTAGTTTTATGCCCTAAAATCTTTTAGTATTTTTTTATACGTATCGTGCCGTGAGATTTCCATTCCCATTTGTTTGTTTTTGTTTCACAGTTTATTTTTGCCGTTCATGCCATTTTCTCAAATAAATATACATATTGTTTAATGTCACAAATCACTTAGTTTTGTAGTTGTAGATTATGTTTTTGTGTATTATATCAATAATAACTCCTGGCTTTAATAAATATTGTTATAAATAAGGTAAAGTTCAGTACCTTTGAAAAGTACTAAAAAAAAGAAAATATCACATCCCAAATGAAAGTTAAAACAAAGAATAAACAAAATATGAATTATATAAAATATAGAAGATCGTTTTTTATGATTTACATAAAATTAACATGAGGGGGTACTACGGGCATTTATTATATAATTGTTATAAAAACGGAAACACTAAGCTAGCAGGAAGATTTAAGTTAATAAAAATAAATGATAAAATGTAATTACCGAGTAGTACGATATGAAGAACGTTTGTCGGATTCTGGTATCGAGTATTGTAAGGTGAACATGGACAAGATTACTGAAGGGTACCAGAAGAAAATATTTGAAATATTGGGATGCGCCAAATCTGAATGGAATCGGATGGTAATTTCGCGTTTTATGATTTTTATTGATATTCAAAATTTTGACCCTTTGTGGGAAGGTACCAGAAGGAGTGGACCGATATATTCCATCTTCAAACCAGACTTTAGGTTGATAAAAATATTGTGATATGTGAAATATGAAAATAACCGGAAGCTTATTTCGCCTTTTTTGAGCGTTTTGTTTTTCAAAATCTTGAACCCTATGTGGGGGGAGGTATCAGCAGAAATGGTACATTTTTATAAAATTTTATATTTTTACCATTTTTACAACAGATCTTGTGTTGATGGAAATATTGAGCTGTACCAAGTCTGAATAGAATCGGAGATTAATTTCACGTTTTATGAGCTTCATTGATATTCAAAATGTTGACCCTTTGTGGAGGAGGTACCAGAAGAATGGACCGATATATACAATCTTTATAACAGGTCTTGTGTTGATATAAATATTGAGAAGTGCAAAGTCTGAATGGAATCGGATGTCATTTTCGCGTTTTATAAGCTATTCAAAATGTTAACCCGTTGTGGGGGAGGTACCAGAAGGAATGGACCGATATATCCCATCTTTATAGCAGGTCTTGTGATAATAAAAATTTTCTGATGAGTGTAATTTGAATACAATCGGACTCTTACATCACATTTTATAATAGTTATTATTATTCATTGACCCTTTGTTGGGGAGGTACTTGCTGAAGTGGACCAATATTGTCCATTTTCACACCTGACTTAGCACTTAGCGAAGTTGGAGCAAAATTGGATTATCCTTTCTCTTTCTGTGCAGTAAATTATTTTCTTTCAAAATTTTTACTTTTTGTGGGTGAGGTACCAGAAGGTGTGGGCCGATATTGGTCATCTTCGTACTCGATCTAAGTTTGACAATAATATTACTCCCTTCGAGAGTTATCGTGCGCACCATCCAGCAAGACAGACAGACGGTCCAAAGAGACCTAGATTATAAAAAAGTTATATCGATGAGTAACGTTTTGGCCGTATCAAATTATATACACCCTCTCTAGCCATATGGCTGAGGGTATAATGAGACACAGAGCTCTTATGGCAAAAAAAAAATTTTTCTTCCTAAAAATATTGATTTTACACAATATGATACTACTACCCATGGGGAACCTTACATTCATTTTGTAAAGTTTCCCCGCGATTCCGAGGTATGTGGCAATACCTGGGGAAATCCTTTAATAAGCGTTATTTCATTGACCATTTTGCCTACCAGAATTTGGAAGCGAATGAAGAGTACTACCAAGAGATAGAAAGTTTGGATCGATTCCGAAGTTTATGGTCAGTTATATATGAAACAGAAGTGAAATAACTGAATGACTGAGAATCAACGCCCAGAAAGGGCTGAGGCTAGAAATTTGACTCGAGAGTCAGTCTTGGTGCGTAGGCATGTGATAATGCTGGATTTTTCTCTAACGCACTAAAGGGATACGAAAGGTACTAAAATGTATTAAAATATTGAAAACTTTGTATCGGACAAATGAAATAAGGTAGAATTCTGAAATATAAATAAGAGTCACTGATAGAGTGCAAGACAGATGCACCAAAGGGTTTTTGGAAATTCGAACTTTAAGGATACTTGAAATTTGCTATAAGAGTCAAGTAAATTTGATATGTGAAGTTGGATTTGGAAATAAATACTAAGTACGCGAACTGTACTAAATTTAGAACAGTTTGGTTTAGGGCGAAGATGGAATTTTAAAATGCTGTATTGGGGTCCCTGCTGGTGTTAGTTTTGAGATATAGAGGTGGTTTTGGAAAAATAGTAAATAGTATCATATTTTGGTACAATTGGGTATTGGCTTGAACGAACTCTGAAATTTGGCATTGGGATCGCTGGAAATGTGTACTATAATTGTACGAAAAGTGGTACAATGGTATTTGGTAAAGGGATGGGACTGGAATCCTCAAATTTGATATTGAGGTCTCTGTTGGTATCTGGAATTCAGATATGGAAGTGGTTTTGGTTCACTGTCTGTGTCTATTTTACTATGTACCCGATATCTTGGCTATCTGTATCACTGCAACGGTCAGAAATGATATTTTAATGTATTTGTGATTTCGCCGGGATTAAAATATTGGCGGTTTACTTTTTCACATAAAAATGTGGATATTTTATCCACTAACTATTATCCGACGATCAAATAAATGATTAAGCTTCTGCCAAGCCCTAAACTCTAGGCCCATGCTAAACTCTGCGTCAATTTGTCTATAAATACGCTCTGTAGAGCAGCTGGAAAATCAGGAAATTTGCTGCTTTTGATCCATCATCTCCAAAAAACAATAGAGTTCTTTTCCGACCCTAACCCCACATCCATTTTCAATTTCGATCGGGCCACAATTGCGACCTACATAGCTAGATCGACTCAGCTCGGCGATATATTAAGATCCATACATAGTTTCCTATGTCGGGACCAATATTTCGAGGTGTTACATAATTTTGGGCCCAATCAAACTATGTGCTGGTATTACCTCCAACACATAGTGTTGTAGGGTGTACTTTACATATCTGAAGAATACTATATATGATTTGAAAATTCCGGCCAATTTAAAGCCTTTTCCATTTGTTTTCCATATATTTTACTCCCAATCTATACGAAAGGGATATTACCCTGCATTTCCGACGAAATGAATAATTACATCAATGAAAAATCCCTAATTGAATTATATCCTCATTATAACTCAATTATGTTGGCCAACTATTTAAAATTGTAGTTCGAAATTGTTGTTATTGTGTTCTTTTCCTTTTGATTAAGTATTTATTTGAACTGGGTGTGTGTGTGTGTGTCAAACCCAAAGCAATGAAGGGGGGTCGGTGGCACTTGGTGACATTGCATTTCTGTTGGACAAGTCAATGTTTGCCGTTGCGTTGTTCACAAGTTCCATCCAGTTCTACAAATCCGTTTTCATTCTTCCAATTTACCCTTGGGCAAAATTAACACACCTTTATGTACCACACGGCAAACATACAAACACATATACCCATGTATACATCGAAACAGATATGTGCACACACGAACATGAAATTTATTAACTTTTCCTTTCGAAAAGAGTCCTCAAGGTAAATGCAACATTAAATTTAATTAAAATATTACTAATTCCTAATTAAAATTAAATATTTCATATGAATGTGTGTGAGTGTATATGTGTGTTCTGTGTGCAAGTTAAAGGACAAACACACAAAATGTACGAGAATAAATTTACAGTGGCAATTGGTGGAATTATTTTAAGGTAGATTTTCTGGGATATTTCTCAGGGGTTCGTTAATAAAAAAGACGGTACAGAATGTTATCGTTTCGAAGCAGAATTCGTAATTGTTACGCCCTTTACCATGCCTAGTATGGGTGGGGATGGGGTGTATTAAGTTTGTCATTCGGTTTGCAGCTCATCGATATTATTATTTTAGTATATTTATATCTGTTTGTTATAATCAGGGTTCCTATTCTGTAACTTTTTAACAACTTTACTCATTGTTATTTTCAGGAATTTCATTCCTTCGTTTTGTTTTCGCTTCACCCCATCTGATACCTCACCCACAAAAGGTCAATATTTTCACAGAAAATAATTTTCCTTATATAACAATATAGGATCATTCAATTTTTTTAGGTCAGGTGCGAAAATGGCCAATATTGGTCTACTCCATCAAGTACCTTCCCCCCAAACTTTAACAATTTGGAATCATTGTAACTCTTATAAAGTGTGAAGTAAAAGCCCGATTCTCTTCAAATTTGGTACATTCCAATATTTCTACAAAGGGAAGATCTGGTATGAAGATGAAATATATCGGACCACTCCTTCCGGTAAATCCCCCACAACAGGTCAAAAGCCATAAAGCTCATAAATCGCGAAATGAACAACCGATTCCTTTCAAACTCAGCACATCCCAATAACAATCCCATTATCAAATTTCCCACATAATATTATTTCCATTAACACAACTAACTGCAGAAAAGGTGGGACATATCTGCACACTCCTCCTGGTAACTCCCCCCCCCCCCCCCCACAAAATTGGTCATAAAATGCGAAATATCCATCCTATTCTCTTTAAATTTTGCCTATCTCGAAGCTATTACAAAAGCAAGATCTGATGTAAAGATGGTAGACCTATGTCAACTCCTTCCGATACTTCCCCCACAACGGGTCACAATTTTCAATACTTATATCTCACTTGAAACGCACATTGCAATATTTTTATTAGTATTATATGGGCCGGAGCAATTCGGTTCACTATATCTTATGCCACTCGCGCATTTCAACATTTTCTATAAAATGTCACATATTTCATATAAAGTGATTTGTAATATTTATATCAGACTTATCTCAGATACGAAATTGAGAATAATGGTCCACTCCCTCGTAACCCCTGAATAATCATAAGCCAAAGCCAAAACATATTTAAATAAACGAATTCTGTCTGGGGGGTGCACATCTGTGCAGCTTTTTGTTTTGGAAGCAATATACAGTGTTCGAATACCAAGTATCGTCAAAATGTGTTAATTTCCCCAATGGTGGAGAGCACCTCAAGTTGGCTCTCCGAACATAACCATTTTTTAATTGTTTATTTTAAACAGTAGGGAAATTAGATTAGTATTAATTTGTTCAGAATAAATACGGAATAGCACTTAAATAAGTGTATGCGGTTTTCCACAATGCAAATATGCCATAATCGGTAGGCCTTTCGACCTTAACTTCGCTTGGAATGCCCGTGTATTATTTA